GAGCGTGAACGAGTTAATTGCTTTATAAAGAGGGGCAAACTCGCGACGACAAATCACACTCTGGCAGAAAAAAGATGCAGAACACTCTCAAAAAGGATCTGTACCTCCTTTAGGCGAGTGGTAAGAGTCTTAATTTGGTTCTTGTACTCCTCTTCACGCTGGTTGGCCTATGGTACAGTAACGTCAACATTATGCATCTCGATTTCACGAAATTCAACCGTTTCTTCTGTCTCTCGTTTATTACGTTCAAAATTCAACTATGTTTTCGTCCTTTTGTATATTTTCCTATCTCGTTTACGTTCGAAATTCGACCGTTCTTTCCGTCCTTCTATACATTTTTCTATCTCTCGGTTAGGTTCGAATAAGTACACGAGCCTACGTTCGAAATTCAGTCGTTTTCTTCGTCATTTTATATACTCTTCAATCTCTCGTTTAGGTTCGAACGCGTACACGAGTCTCCGGACGTTAGACGTTGGAGAAAAAGCCATCACCGAACAGAATTCATTCCGCGTTCACCGTGAAAAATCGCCACGATCTTGCTGTTACACGCCACCCGAGTTTTTCTTCCGTCAGATTTCTTTGTCTCGTGATAACTTTCGCGGGATGCAATCGCCTCGAAGGCAGGGATTTTGCAACGCGACGGGAGAGAAGGATTGAAATGTTGATGGACGCGACGTTACGAGGCGAATCCGGCCATTTTCACTCCAATTTTTACACGGCCAATGAGTTATGTGACTACGGTACTAATTTCGAGGTTTTCAAAGTGAAATATCGAATTTTCAATTATGTTTCGGTGTGATTTTATGATGGACGCGACGCTGTGGGGTGAATTTTGTATGCGGTGCCGTTTCGGCTCCGATGTTTCCGCGATGAAAAATTATTTCACTATATAATACTAATTTCAAAATTTTTTAAATGAAAATAATATTAGTTTCAAAATTTTAAGAGTGAAATATCAAATTTGGAATTAAATTTACAGTATGAGTGCCATTTTCACTCCAATTTTCCACGTCGAGTGAATTATGCGGCTGTATAATACTAATTTCAAAGTTTTTTAAGTGAAAATAATATTAATTTCAAAATTTTAAGAGTGAAATATCAAATTTGGAATTAAATTTACAGTATGAGTGCCATTTTCACTCCAATTTTCCACGTCGAGTGAATTATGCGGCTGTATAATACTAATTTCAAATTTTTTAAGTGAAATAAGCACCAATTTCAAAATTTTAAGAGTGAAATATCAAATTTGGAATTAAATTTACAGTATGAGTGCCATTTTCACTCCAATTTTTGCTCCAAAGAATAGATTACGCGACCATTCAATACCAATTTCAAAATTTTAAAAGCGCAATATCAAATTCTGAATGAAATTTACAATATCAGTGCCATTTAGACTCCAACTTTTCCAAGACAAAAATTTTAACACACATTTCACCGTGACTTTAATCACGGCAACGGATATCCCCGTGATATTATCGATCGGTAGGCAGAAAATTTGTGACCGTCGCAACTGGTACGTGAAATGAGTTCGAAAGGAAGAGAAAGTGAAACAGATATTTCGAGATTTCGTAGGTACTTTTGTTGTGACTGGTTTTCTAGCGGCAGTACTTACCTTCTCCTCAGAGACCTCGAGGGACTTCAGGTTGTTGCCAACCACGCGCAGTTCCTCCTCCAGTTCGACGATCTTCCTGCAAAACGAATGAACCGCTTACTACGAATCCTGATCGTAAATACCATTCCTACCTGAGAGCGTGTTTCTTCGCCGTTGGACGAACCGCTGGTCGTTTTCTTTCGCTCGAGTTTAATCTCGGATATTATAGAATCGATCTTTCTCCGCGGAATTTCAACTATTTTATCCCTAATACAATTCCAAGAGAATTACTTTTCTTCTTACAAAGTGTTCCAAAAGAAATGGCACTTTTTCGTACAAAGAATAATCACAAAATGGTACTTTCGATATGAAAATTTTTAAAAACGAATAGAAATCGTTAAAAATGGTGTAATTTAGATTTCTACGTGTGCAGACTGTTTAAAAGCACCGTAACTTTGAACTTTAACAATAATTCCGTGTAAATTTCCATCGACCAGCGTTCGTCCGTGTTAGATAAAGCGTTCTGTTTGACGGAAGTTTTCGAGAAGAGGAGAAACAGAAGGGAAGTGTACAGTGAATCATGCACAAACTGAATCACCTACCCTTCCGAAAGTTCAGCCTTCTCCTCGGCACGCTCAAGATCCTGCTCCATCATGACTAGTTTTCTGGCGACCTGTGATCAACAGCCACACGTGTCATGCGAAAAAGCAAGGATGACAAGGACTTAAAAAGTAAACAGAGAATGTGGGAGAAATAAAAAGTAAGAGAGAACAAGAATTATATGGTATGAACGCATGCAATCGGTCGAGCTTCCGGTCCGGTTCTCCACATCCTTCGGTGGTCCACTAGCCAGCTACTCGATTGTGGTTACGAGTCTATAAAAATGTTTCCTCTTTCAAGAAAATGGATCTCGCGAGAGAAGGGAAAATCTAGGAAAAATGCAGAAACGAAAGTTCCATTTTCTTCGATGCAAAAATTCCAAGGGAAATCTCAGCCAAACCTCTAAGACAAAAGACGCCGCGCATGTTTCTTTAAAATTTCTCACTCTCTCCAACTCGATGCAAGAGAGTTCTTTCATTGACCCAGATTTCCCTTGCCAAAAGCAACAAAATTCGACCAAGGTGAAATTCGATCATGATCGACTGCAAATCAAAGGTGGACCTCGTGAACGAAGGTCCTCCGCATCTCGTTAAAAAATTAACTCAAATACAACAACCAAACGAACAAACCATGTGTCGTGTGTTAGACAAACTTCCACACGTGGTCCACGTGTTAATATTCGATATGCTAATGTACTAATTAAAGGGACGGTGTCTGTGTTTGTACGACGTGTAGAATAAGTGCACGTCCGTAGGAACGTGTGAGAAAGTGTGACGAGAAATATGGGATCAGGGGGTTTTCATACAACAAAAATCTGGCGATCGTTTGGCGCACACGCTTGAAATATTTCCAAAAAAAAAAAAAAAAAAAGGAAAAACAGGCGTTAATGAAAAAAGAGAGGGTGAGTGTGTGTTCGGTTTGTTTGTTTTTTTTTGTTGAAAAACTGATGCTTACGACTCTCCGGCCTCGGCACGTTCCTCGGCACGTTCTAGATCGGCCTCAACCATGGCCAATTTACGGGCGACCTGTATAAACGACACATACACACGGTTTCACCTTATGTTCCGTTTTGTCTGTCTCTCTGACAGCTTCTTAGCTCTCCTTCTCTCGCTCTTGTCGTTTCGCCAGCCGGTCTCTGGTCTCTCTCGTGTCTTTGCCGGACATCTGGGCCAAGATCGACGATCTCACGCCTCGATCTTGCTACCATCACGCCCCATGGCCGAGATCACCGTGATTCCGGCCGGCTCGATGTCGCTCTACGAACTGGAAGAGCTCCTTTTGCGTCTGGCTCGTTCGATCAACCCGTTCCACATGCTTTTCTCACAAGGATAAGCCTCGGACCTGGTCGATTTCGAAGGGCGAATATGCTTTTGGAAATGTTGAATTTTGTTTGACGATCAGAGAGTGATTTTGGAGATGATTTGTTCTTTAGATGGATTTGTTCTTTAGGGTGAAGATTGTTCTCGGTAACTTTGAGGCGAACTTTGAAATGTTACTTTGCTACTAGAACAGAGCGAGCCTCGTTACAACGCGAGGGATGAGTGTGGCGCCTAATTTCTGACTACAATACGACTATGTCGCGATATTTTTAATATAAGCACGAGGTAAGTATTGCGGTTCCAAAAAAAAAAAAATTGAAAAGTGTGTCAAAATATTAAATTTCTAACGCGTTATACGCCGCCAATTGCGGCCCGCGATTTTTACAAAAAACTAAATAAATTCTATCATATAATTAAAAATTGTTCAGTTAAAAATATACTAAATTTTATATGTAACATATCTTGTTATTATACAGATTGTATATGTTTTATTGTCTTAACGGCCCGCCAAATATTTTCGAATTTACAATTTGGCCCACCTAGGCAAAACTTTGGGAACCCCCTGGTCTATTGTACAGTTAGTGGAAGCGATACAGTGAGAGATTTGTGAACTGATATCTAAAATTTCTTATTAACCCTCCATCGCTTTCTATTCAATAGTAATTCTCGTATCAGTAAAAATTAGCCTGCAACTGTGACTAATTAAGGTGTCTACAAATTTTTGAAGTATACCACAATGGAGGAACTAATCTCGAGTTGTCGTCAAACATCCCTGAGCGAGGCTCGAGCTCCTTATCACCCTCGAATTGCTGTTTCGCCGCTCAGATTACGTGTATTTCGACTCCCGACTAATTTTACGACCTCGCTATATCCCTTCCACCGACTCTACATCTACATCGAACATCACGAAAGTTCCTCGAAGAAGCTTCGTATCAATTCCACCGAAAGAAACACCGATCTCACTCGAAAACCTTCGATCTTTCCGTGCCAAGATCGACGAGAGATGTGCCATTTCCAACGATTTCGAATTTGGCACGTAACTTGGTGTACTTTAACAGACGTGTACGCGAAGCGTAACGCGTATCCTTGACCAAGTGGAACGGATCAGAAAGAGCCAGAATACGGAGCCGCTTAATCATCTCTCTATTCGTTCGCAAATATTTCTCCGTGCTTCGCCAGAGCTGTGTCTCGCTCGGTTAAGGGGTTAATAGTATTCCCTCGCGCGGATCGTACTCGCGATGGAATCGCAAATATTGAACCAGTGAGACACTAACCGCGAAACGTGCCGTTCGCCGAGCCATCTCGTTTCAACGAATAATGGAAACGTACTTAACAACAACGGACACGAAGCGGCCAGAGCGGCTTGAATATCGAACAGAACTGGAGATTGTACGGTTTTTTAAATGCAGGGTGCTTCGAAAATATGTTAACAGCTGTATGAAAGTATTGGTAACATGTCATATTAACCCTTTGACTCGTGATTTTCTGGGAGAATAAAGATTCACTGTTTTAATGCAGCTTTGCGAATTTATTAAAAATGTAATTTTCTGTGTCGCGAGTGTGACTCGTTACTGCAACGCAAAGGGTTAACGAACGAGGCTTTCAGTGCAATAGTGGCTTAACCCACAATTTTGGATGAATGGACGTTTCAGCGTGAATCATTTCGTGGACGGCTAAATTCCATAGAGCAAACTTCTAAAAATATTTGAGAACGTCAATCATTTCATTAGCCATATACAGCTAAACTTTAATTCTACAGTGAGCTAAGCAAACTTCCCAAAATATATGAATCTTCTAAAAATGGAAACTTTGAAAAATATTTTAAAACGCCAATAATTTGACTAGCCATAACCTCAAAATGTTTGTTTCGAGGTTAGGTCACTATCTTACCGATAGCTTCAAATGCACTTTGCCTTCGAAGAATTCCCACCACATTCTCGGAATCTCCTCTTTTGCAAAATGTTTGCATATAAAAATTCTTCGTACGAGTGTTATTTTTTCGAAACACCCCATAGTGCGAGATACTCGTGGCTCGGTTTGGTTCGAACACGTTCAGATAGGCTTTATCGACGGCTCTTCCAGGCGTAGGACGCGTCGGTTAGAGAAGAGCAACGAGTATAGAGATAAGAAACGAAGCGAGAGAAGACATTTTCTGCGCCTCGTTCTTACGAGATTGGCACGAATCGATGGCACAGCACGCGTGGCTTAGAACGACGAGGCCACCGTGGTTAAACGAAGGAGAATTCTCAACGCTCGTACTCCGCGAGCAAATGGGAAAATAAAGCTGTCCGCGTGCGCCTCCACGGAATGTCCCTTTCGTTTGTCCACGGAGACCTTTCGTTCTACGCATGCAACGAACTCGTAGCTAACGTGACGCAACCCTCTCCTACAACTGACTCTCCGAATGATCACTTTCGTCCGTGGATCTTTCGTTTCTGCTTTATCATTTTTCTTCAAAATACTCCATTTACGAAGTGAACGCAAAAATTGAGATGAATGAGAATAGTTTCTGAATACTCTGTGAGATACATTAGCTATCCCACCGTGAAATATTGGAAGGAGAATTATAATTCGCGAAATCTCAAAAAATCAACCCTCGAGTCATTTAAAAAAAAATACTCGACTCGCGAAATGAAGGTGAAAATTGGAAAGAATGAACAATAGAGTTTCTAAAAGAGCTATATCACCGTGAAATATTGGAAGGAGAATTACGATTCGCGAAACATCAAAAGTGATCCTCGAGTTATTTAAAAAAAAATACTGGACTCGCGGAACGAAGGAAAATGGAATTTCTGAATTGGCTATCTCTCGGCGAGATACTGAAAAATGAATTACAATTCGCGAAACATCAAAAGTGATCCTCGAGTTATTCAAAAAAAAATACTGGACTCGCGGAACGAAGGAAAATGGAATTTCTGAATTGGCTATCTCTCGGTGAAATACTGAAAAATGAATTACAATTCGTGAAATATCAAAAGCGATCCTCGAGTTATAAAAAAAAAAAAAAAAATACTCGACTCGGGAAATGAAGGTAAGAATTGAAATGAACGAAAATAGAGTTTCTGAATTAACTATCTCCCCGTGAAATCTCAAAAACAACCCTCGAGTTACTTAAAAAATAATACTCCCCTTGCGAAATGAATAAAAACGGAGTTTACGAATCAGCTATCTCTCGTTGAAATATCAAAAGGAGAATCACAGTTGGCGAAATCTGAAAAACGATTCACCCGTTATCTCTATGACGCGACTCGGTCAAATGTGTCATTTAACGAGAGGATTGCGTAACGCTGACACACTCAAGTAACAAAGGGCCAACGATAAGTGATATTACTGCATTAGGTTAAAAAAAAAAAAGAAGAAAGTAGACAGAAAACGAATCGTCGCATTCGGTTAACTCTCGCCTCTCGTTGTTCCGAGCTTCTGCAATAATTGTTACAGCTGTTAAATTGTTAAGAGAGGACAAGCTACACAGAGATTCTATCAGAATCTCTTTCACACACGCGACGTCACTGCAAACAATTAAGAAAAAAGAAAAACAAGACATATGCAAAACGTTACGATTAGTCTCGATGCTTATTAATCGAACGACAGACAATCTGAATAGAGAAAATAGTTAGAATTGGTTATCTATAGAAGGACAACAGACACACGTTGAAGTTACAACGACGGTGAGTTTCGAATTTCGAGAAATCTGTTCGAAGCGCTAGAAAACCATCGACGGTTCATGGTTACTCGTGTAGAAACCCTTTCTATTCGAACATATTAAAGAATGTGTTTTCATCGTGGATCCGACGTTATTACGGAACTTTCTTTTTTGACCGACCAATTCCATCCAGAATATGAATGTTACATACAACTTGTGGTTCGTTCGTGCTTATCGAACTGTGCTTCTGGCAGACACCTCCTATTTTCTACCGTGCCACGAAAGTTCCCTCGAGTTATTGCAATCTGGTTTCGCGAGATAGCCCGTTTCGATATGTTTGCACTGAAAATTTGAATTTACCAAAGGCAAAAACAGAAATTCGAAGCAGCGAAAGAAATCGTTACTTCGACGTTACACGCGCAAGAAGCACGAACGAATTAACTATTTTGAATTTCTAATCTCAACGCAAAGTGGACTTGGATTTTACGAAAAAAAAAATGTCAAGAAAAACACAACTCGACGTCTCTCTATTTTTGATCCTTGTAACTTCGACGTTGTCTCGCGACACTCTCCACCTACCATAACAGATGGATTATGCGAATCGAACGTTTTTTTTTCCCGAGCTACACGTTCCGAAATCCAGCGCAAAGCGAAAAGGGGAAGAAGAGTGTCTTTGGACAAAAGCAGCACCATTTTTCTTTCTGTTTAATCGCGTATTACGGGACCGAGTTGCACACGATCACGTTCGTATCACAACACAGAGACGGATTAATCGTTATTTCTTTTTTATTCACGAAGCCAGCTTCCGGCTAACACGAACCGAACCAACCACGCGGACCGACGACGTCGTTTACCGAATTTTTCTTTTTTATCATCGCGTACGATCGAGAGACGATTTTGCGCGATCATTTTTGTCTCGTTTTTATTTTTAACGCAAACTAAATTTTCCTTATTTTTTCTTTCTTTCTTTTTCCTTACGAAACTGGCACTTGAAACTTTTTCCCCCCCGACCTTCTTTTTTCTCCTTCTTTTCTTTTTTTCTCCAACAAGCACTTGGAAATCACAGATATACAGTGGTCGTTTTTGTTTTTAGGAATTAAGTCGCGCTCAAAAAAACACGTGACACTGATATACTTCGATAATATCACCACTCGATTCGTAATTTTTTTTTCATTTAACCATTTTATTACGAGAATAATTATTTTATTCGAGCACTGCACTTTCATACCCGCTGATCGATCAATTAGATCTCACTTACTCGACGAAATCACAGACGATCAAAATACCCTTCGTTCTCTCCGTTCTTTTTTTTTAAATTATTATCATTCGTTAATGCACTGTTATCGAATTTAAACATCGAACTTTTTTCCCAGTTGTCGTTTTTCCTCGATTTTCTTTTTTAACGGAGATTACTTCATTCGCTTCACCCGAATCGCGAGAATCTTGCTGGATACATATACACGAACGATCGACTTTTTCTCGTCGATCGAACCCCGGAAGAGAAAAATTAAAAAACAAAAAAAAAAAAAAAAAAATACTGGACGTTAGTAGAGATTTTCGAAGACGAATAAACGCGTGTTTACTTTTATCCTTTTTTAGACGCGTGAGTAGATATTTCCTTTCTTTTCGACGTATTATACCGGGCCACGGTGGTTTCGAGCACACAGAGAGAAGACAGAGAGTTATGGGGTTAGGCACTATTATCTCGACTATCAACTAGGAACCATCATCGTCATCGTCATCGTTATTTTTATCATGATCATTGTCACTGCAGCCAGCACGCTTGACAGTCGTGGGCTCGCAAACCTCATCGTATTTCTTGTCAGCTTCTTCAGCGAGGAACCTGGCCTCCTTCAGCTGATTTTCGAGGGCGTCCATACGCTCTTCATCGGCCAAGCTGCGATTCTCGAGAATCTTGCGGGCTCTTTAATAATTACGAAAATAAAGAAAGAAAGGGATTAACGTACGTTTACGAAACGGAAACATTTCTTCTACAAGGAATAGTCTATAGTGTTATTCTCGTTGCCCCGCCAAACGCGAACGACGAGGGGCTCCACGATGCTCGGGTACAGCACTGCTCTCCGGCTACCTGTTACCTGTTCCTGCGAAGGTTGTGCCTCTGGGAGCGAATTGTCGATCGATCTTACCGAGTCTCGGTTCTCTTAGAAATTCCGTATTACCGTGTCGTAAATCATTTTTCAATTCACTTTACTACCTTCGGGGAGAGGAAGTTTCGAAAGCTTTTCACATTCAATAGACGAACCTTTTATGGAATTTTTCAAACGTGATTTTGTATAGGATTTTAATTTTCATAGAATTTTGACTGAATTTTCTTTGCAGCATTTTTGAGTTTATTGGTAGACAAGAGTATTTAATTTCAATAGAAATCTGGAAGTTCGTGAGGAGGAAGAATAATTCTGAGAAATGCTGAAACGCACTGATTGGTCAAAATTAAATTTTTCTTTTTGAGTAAATTTTCATCGAGTTTTTGGAAGTCTATTTATGTGTATAGCTCGTGACAAAATATAGTAATTTCGAGAAATGCTGAAACGCACTCTGATAGGCCAAAATTGAATTTCTTTTTTTTCGAGTATTCCAGTTTAGTGGTAGTAAGTTTTGATCGAGTTTCTGGAAATCTATTACGTGTACAGTTTGTGAAAAACCGTAATAATTTGGAGAAATGCTAAAACGCGCTCTGACTCGTGAAAATGCAGACAGATTCGTCCCCAAGAGGCTGTCGCGAAAAGAATGTTCTTTTGTTCGCTGGTACGTGACCCACCTCCTCGTATTTTTTATCCGCCTCCTCGGCGATCAGTTTAGCCTGTGCTAGCTGCTGCTCCAACAGGGATACTCGGTCATCCTCCATATTGGTACGGTTTTCAAGTGCCTTGCGTATCCTAGCGATCGATTATCATTCGATTTTTAGCATCGATTTGGTCGCCGTTGAAAGAAGGATCATCGAAATACGAAATGAGTCTTCCGTGATTTTCACGTAAATTACTTTCCAATTTTTCGTTTAATCTACTACTTCAAATCACGTACAAAGCGAAATTTATCTTTTCCATTGAAAATATGAATCATCCGACGATTACGATCGCAAGAAACTAATCTAACTTCAATACGCGTTTATTATCAGTTTCTATACTCAAAAATCGTACCGAAAGAATTTATAATGTGAAAAAGTATTTTTTTGAAACTTCCTTTAAAACAAATATTCGTACTCTACGTAATTTATCTGGATAAAGAAAGCGGCATAAAAAGCCCAAGTTACGACGCACTAAACGTCGATAAAATGTACGTTCTCGACTGCAAGATCCGCGCGAATTCTCCGCTGGCTATCAATCTTCCTTTACGCGACAAGAAACCGCGAACACGTCATTCGGTTGCGCTATCAATCGCGATAACATAAGATCGAGCCACCCTGAATCCTCAAAGTCACGGTTTCGAATCGTCGATAATCGTCGTTGTTATCGACCTCGAAAAAACAACTTACCAGCGGAGAATTCTTGGAATATATATGTATGTACATATCTCGAGGTTCTTTCAACGTCGAAAGGTTAGTCCTATCGATAACAATGCCGCGACACGTTCATTGAAATTCGAGCGAAAGAGCGCATACACGATTCGATTGAATTTAATTGATCTAATCGATCTCCTCGAGAGCGAATCGGACACTATGCGTTGTGTTTGCAAAATGAAAAATCTGCTGTACCGATCTCGAACGATAATTGAATTTAACAGTCGCTCGATCTTCTGGTTACACGATATTCTCAAACGCGATTGTTCGTCAATTATTAAATTGCTCGCGTTTGCAGCTACAATGAAAATGTACCGCGATGAAAAATTGTCGTAATTGCTACTCTGTTGCAGAAACGTTGCGTTTCTGCTGTATAATTGCATCTCTGTGAGCTGGTTTGATTATCTGATAAATATAACCCGTTTCAACTCTATATTCAGCGACGGTATTAACTGCGAAAGATTACAATGCAGTATTGTGCGATCATTTATAAATAGATCCGGACGGGGAATATAATCTTGTACAAGTGTACTTGCTCTTTCTCATCGATTTCTTTGGACGTTCGACGTTTGTCATGATTATTTATCGGAGCACCGTACGATCGCTGTGTTTCGTGCGAGAAGATTGGCATTGTTCGTCCAAGTTACCGTTACGAACACAAAGAAGCCCGCTCAAATTAAATTAAAAACCACCTGTTTCAATAATTTTGCAACTTATTAATTGCCTCGAGAATTTCTAAATTATATCACATTAAAAATTTGGTCTGCTTATTTATATGTTTTACCACAATTTCAGTAACTTCACGGTATTTTATCTTTAAACAAGTGTTCAAACTACTCCGAAATCAATCTCCAATTCGAATACCCATCGTCTCGCAGTGTAGACAACAACAGAACACAGCTCCTTAAGAGAAAAAAAGATCTCATCTCTAACACAATGCTTCATTGATCATTTTATGTCTCCTTATCGATGTACATTCTAATAAAAAGCTACGACCTCGGACAACTGGTCAACGAAGAAAGCTTATGAATCGAACTTTCGCTGAATCGATCAGACAAGGGGGATGGTGCTTCTGTTGTTATCTTATCCATTGAGTAAAACACACAGCCCGTTGTTGTGTACTCTGAACAACTCCTTTTATAAATATCCGTTGCTCGACGTTATTTTTCGCACCGGTTAGTCGCCGGATATTTATAAGATTTACGTGGTCGTACGATGCTCAAGTGATCACACGGAGTAACACGATAGAAATGTGACATTCGTTTACCGTTCGCTCTCATCCGCAGCCTGCGACGCCTCTGCCAATTTAGCAGTGGCCGTTGCGAGGCGTTCCTCCGATCTCTCGAGGTCCTCCTCCAACAATTGGATACGACGATTCAGAGCGGCTACCTCGGACTCAGCCTGTAACGAGACAACAGAGAAACACATTTTTATAACGTTTTTCAGACAGTAAAATTCGAGATATTCTTTTTCTTAATTATTCAATCATTTTTCCTGATAGCTTGACACGGTCGCTGCCGCAGACGCAGCATGTGCGGTCCAGAAGATATCGTTTAGCGTGCTATCTATTTCTGGTGGCAGTGACCGTGTTAAATAAAGTTATCGTCATTTTTTTCCATTTATTATTTCAAATTTGCGACTTGGGATTACCATAGTATTTTCAATTTGCGAATTGGGATTATCGTAATATATTTCTTGATTATGCTATATTTGCGACTTGAGATTATCGCAATTTTTTTATTATTTGTTATTTTTAATTACGATTGACCTTTATTAGGTCATGTAGCAAATCTGTGTTAAAACTTGCAAAAAGGTATCTCACTCGACGTAAGTTCAATTATTTATTTTACGTATAAGGAATTTGTTCTTTTCAGATGTCTAATTGAAAACGGACAATTTACAGTACCAACTACAATTAACGAGGGAAGAAAATGCTTTCCCCCCTAAGAACGATAAGCTCATAAAGCGTGTCCTTTTTCCTTGGCAACAGTGTTGCATATAAATCCTTATCGTTAGCAAGATTTTTCAGTCGGTGAGTCGCGCGCGCGCCTGTAATAAATTCATTAGCACGTAAACGAACGAAGTTGAGATAAAACGCGAGATAAGCTATCGTCGTTGATACGCGACCGCTAGCTAGATATTTACAACCGTTTATATTCTTAGCTCGATACAGATTTGCTCCGATTTTTTTTTCCCCCCTCTCGAACTTTAATCGACTTTTCCACCTGTTCGAAAAGTTCGAACGGAAAGTAGACGTTAACTTGGCGAACGTGCTACACGTGATTAGAATTCGCACGAAGATCGCGAGAAACGCCAAGGTCCTCGCTCCGTTCGCATATCAATGACCCTAGAGGCTTCCTTTCGAAGCTCGTGCTCGTCGTTTGCAACGAGCCGTTTAATTAAACTGGTCGCCAATTTTCGCAGCATCCGCGTGCTTAGGCACGCGAATTGCTTCAGGTTTTGGTTTAAAAAAAGTTTATTTTCTTCGATTAAAAACGCAGCTTAACGCATCGCGGATCGAATATCTGGCCTGAAACCCGATTCCGAATAATCTCGGTTAATTAAATTCATCCAAGTTTCTATTCTACTCTATGACGTGATCTCCGCCGTTTTCTAGCTGCTTTTCCTCGGAGACGTCGCTCGAGCACTCGTTGCTACGGTTTCTAGCTAATTGCCATCTTTGCTCGGTGTACTTCTCGCCTGATGCTTTAATTCTAAGTACAGTTGCAACGGTTCTGAAATTCCTCTTAACACATTATCAACAACGAACGAAATGAAAAATGTAAGAAAATTACCGAGACGTAATTGAACGATGTTTCGTTATATTTGACGATATTTTACAAAGAAATTTCTTCGAATGAAATACAAGCACAAAGTAGAAATGATAAATCTCCCTAGTCGATTAACAGTGTTAATTAAGATGTCTGCGAATTTTTCTGCATAGGAACAACTTTAGATATCTCTCGATCATACTTTACGAAAGGCTGTTTATTTGTCGCATTATCTCTGTACTATCTAATCAACGTAATTTTCATATTACCTTATTTTTTCACTGCATTATGACACAACCACGATAAACGATAAATCGATCAATTTTCTATCAGAATCTAAATTTAGCGTCTGCTCATTTCACCGATTTAGGCAGGTCACAAAGGATCCCGTTACAATGCAACGTTAGTTGAATCGTTTTGCAATTAAAGATAGGGAATAGCGACCTGTTGAAAAGATAGTTCGGTAGCCGTGGTTACGTGAAACGGAACAAACTATACGAGCCCTTACAAATGTAAATTGCTTAACGCTCGATTACGCGTGTGTTCCTCTCTTCTTCTCTCTACGCAATTCGAGGCCCTTGTCCCCGTTTGTGGCTGCACCTGCGACGATTGTGCGCCGAGCGGATAAATCCCAATTCATCGTGCGTGAACCGGGCATTACGTGCCCTTTCATACACGTGCCTACTCTTCGATCACCCACGAACACGTCGCATCCGGAGCTGGTCCGACACGCCCGTGCCGCGAAAATATCGGTACCGAGTTCTGTCATTATCTTATCCCACATTTGAAAAGCAACTGCGAAGACACATGTAAGTACTCATGCTGGAGCATTCGATAAGGAGTTAATGCTTGCAGATCGTCTTAAGGATCGATCATTTCTCGTCAATTTATTTCATTTTCTTTACTTAGGGATTAAGACACATTACAAGTCGAAGAGAGGAAAATTATAAGGTATATCTTGAAGAATACTAAGCTTGGATGGTTTGATGCTTTCTGGAAGGAAATTAAGGCATTATGCGATTTATTTGTAGACCACAAAAATTTAAGAATTTAAAAATTTTAAACGTGTCAGTATTTTAAGGAAATTTTTTACAATTTTTTCCCCATAAAGTTTCCAAAGTTCCAAAATTTCAATCCTGAAGGTTAAAAATTATCTGAATAATTTCAAGACATCCTTAAAAAGTGGAGGAAGAAAAGATTTTCTTCTACCATGTCATCCCCTTCATTTTCAATTCTAAAGGTCAACTTAATTCGAGTATTAAAAATTCCCCGATTAATTTCAAGATGTCCTTAAAAAGTGTCAACACGCCTTGATTATTCATTGTCTTAAAAAATGACTCGCGGTAACAAAGGCGGAGGTTACGCCTATGAGCGCGGCGTAACCGCGGACAATGTCATAATTCGTGGGCAGACGTTGTAACGGCTAAAATTGCCGGCCGGCTAATTCGTCGCACCGTCTAATTTTGAATCCGGCGCGCGCGCCACTTCCGCTGTCCGAGCGTACTCTCGCCATCGACGGATCGATCGGCGTTGTATCAGCCTCTCGGTTCCGATGGAGGAAACCGACACGCCCACACACACTGGCGCAGACCGCGAACAGGTCTCGTCGATCGTGTCCGCGGTAATGTTGGTAAGTGTGCCAAACTTCCGGCAACCATCACCCTCCGTTGCCTCCATTACGTTCTGTTAATTCGACGCGATATACGACTGTCCGTTGCTCACCAATTACACAGTCAAATACTAACGAGAATTATTCACGCCTTTCTGGAGATCTCGAGAAATTCATTCCTTTCTTTTCTTCTTCTTTTCCTTCTCGAGTGATAATTAAGATAAGAGAGATAAGAAGGCTGATACCGTCGTGCACTCTAAACATTTTCGATGAGATACAAATTACTGTCTGTGTGAGGTCGTTAATTATATCGTTTCGGAAGATTGACTTTAAAGAGTGTAACGTGAAATTTTTTACGCTGCGAGATTTCGAGGTTACGTTTTCGAGATGGTTTATAAAGTTCGGAAGAAGAATTCTTCCTATGGAACGTTTTTAATTAATAATTCAATTATGAACGGTCAGATTTCTAATTATTCGCAAATTAATTACTTCAGTGCTCAAAAGTTCCGAGTATTTTTATCTTGTTGACGAAATCTGAGAGTTCGTATTAGGCGCCAATCAAAGATGAACGTGATCTAATATTTTTGTATATGCATTTCAAGAGAATTTCGATTAAAACGCTAAATTTCTCCACAAGAACATTTTCCTCTAAAAAACGAAGGTTGCACAGTCCCCAAAGGGGAACCATCTTCCTCGTACAGCGCTGCTATCCGTTCGAAAAACATCGGTACGGTGAACCGAGCGGATAAAGTATCAACCGATCAATTACCGACATGGTAAATCAATAAAACAGAACGTACTACGATGAAGTAGCACGAGCATGTTTATTTGTTTATTAATAAATCTGTGCCTAGACTAGAGGCAATCGACGCGTCCGATTATGTAAACTGCTCGATAAAGAGACGCCACGTGCATGTCGTACGGCTGTTAACGTAATATCACTTTCACAGTTCGCGCTAAATCCGTCGATGCTGGGGGAAATCAATGAACCGAACCGGAGATGGTGTATCTTGGATGAATCTCACGACGTGTGTAGGACACACGTTGTTGGCTATCTATTAGACGAGCGGGAGGAAAGAGGAGAAAAAAAAAGAACTGTACACACGGCAGTGCACTTCATTGCTCGATGACAAAAGCTTGTTAGTGAAGCTTCAACGAGCCTCTATCCGTTGGCCTTTTAGGATGGCGACGCGACAGCGACATAAAGCTAGCTAACGTCATCGATCGTGGATACGTCGACATTTTTCGGTGGTTATCCCAAGGTTAATCTTGGCGGTGTAATCGGGAGGAAAAGTGGCCTTTGTTATTGCTTCCCTGTAAACTGTTTCTGTTTTATCGTTCAAGGCCTTGATAAGTTGTTCCGATGGAATGAATTGAAAGATAGAGAGGATTGAACGTAGATCAAAATAGAACGACAATAGGAATTGTTTTGTAAAAGAGGATTAGATGATAATTGTTCTTGTACTTTGGAATGGTATTAGTTATATTTTGAGGTGTTGATTATTTATTTTTCAGCCGTCTTGTATGGTACGCTTCCATAAGACGAAAGACAGTTCTACGAAATAGATAATAGTCTGAGTCAGTTGCTTCTTCTTAAATCGATAATTTTGCAGTGGCTAGTGGACGGTAGAAGTACAGGATATTAGACTACGACAAGGCTTCCTTCAACTTGGGGTGAAAAAGGTCTCCGTAGGAAAATAAATTTTTCGACCTTAAGTCGAGTTTAAATGTCACTCGTGTAAATAACGCGCAACGGAAACGTGGGCGCATAGAAATGGTCAACAGAGTTTTCGTTGTAAGAGAAATAATCGTTTTCGATGCGTAAGCACGCATCCACGCAACGTCATCGTATTCGAATTTCCCTCCGACAGTGCTCAACTTTGGAATTTCAACGAGTCACGCACTCAACAGCTCGTATCCTTGCATTTATATCATCGAATCGACTGTTGAAGGCGTCAGGGTGTTCGAGAAAGAAAAAGGAAGTGAACGGACGTAAATTCAATTTGAATTTAAATTCGAATGTTTGAATTTGAATTTCAACATTCGAACGATGAATTCAAACTGAATTTATAAGTTCGAACGTTTGAATTTTTTCCAAGCTTACTTTCACCTGTACGAACGATTTAAACGATTCAAATGTTCACGTTACTCGTAACGCTTGAACGTTTCGACTGCTAGAAAACCTAGAGCGACTACCTTCACCGAGCTATGAGTTCCGCCAGTACGCGAGCAAAAAACGGACAAAAACAACAGGATTGTGATGTAAATCCGTTAAATCCAGGCTGCTGAACGCTCGGAGAGAGAATACTCCCACATTCCTAACTAATCTTCACTGTAGAACTATATCTATTATACGTATTAATTAAAAATCTATAAACACGTATTTCTGTACAAATTTCTAAACGTTTAATCCATTAAAAATACTAAAACCTAGCAACATTCGAAATAATCTACATGCCCCATTTATATTTTCTCCCTACAAATGGCACCCTACCGAACGCAAACGTAATTACCCTCGAAAAGTCGTATCAGATCGTGTGGTGCCGGCAATATGTACTACGGAAAGGTTCGCGTGCACGAGTCATTCTATGATCATATACGCAGAAATCGACCGGCAATATCCCGCTGCTTTCATACGAACACAGCACCGAGAAGAAACGTCAGCTTGGAAATACGAGCGAAGCGGCCGGGCCCATTCGGCTTAGCGCACTGCGCACGTTTATTAGCTCGATTACTGTTACGTTAATATTTTCCGATGCACGGTGGATCGTAGAACGAAGGCCTTGAGGGGGTAGCGAGAGAGGTGAGTTTTCAAGCCGGTCCTCGTTGTATCAAGAATGTCTCGAGTGCGAGTCGGAGTCGGTGTGTCCCTTCTATACCCCCCTGGCTGCCCTCGCCAGAGCCGCAACCCAGCCTGACGACGACGTGCCTGACACTCACGATCGATCCTATAACCGTGTGGACGCCGGCTCCGGCGTTTCGTGAACCACGATGAAAAGGATTGTCGTCGAGGGTTTCCATCGATTCCAGAAACGATGGTTATCCCCTTGCATGAACAGAAATGTCGGGCGTGACATCGGGATACGATCGATTCATCTCCGTTTTCCCCGATTAAAACAGCTTCTTTCACGCAGAACCGATCGATACTTTTCTGAACATCGCGAAGTTGAGCACCGTATTTCCGGTAAAGACACGCCGCGAATCACGTATAGTACGTGTTCGCGAAAGAAATTAACCGCACGTCCAGACGATCATGAGACGAACGAATTGTCTCTGAAACCTATGCGATTCGCGCGAACGAGTTGGACGTTTACGAGAACAGAATATCTCCTAGGCGAACGACTGGATAAACCTCACTGAATTCTTCCCTTTTGTATACTTCATTCACGTTTCTGATCGGGCGTCGCGAAACGATCGACGAGCTCACACGGCAAATCGCACAGGTTATGGTAAGAAGAACGAGCAAAATATAGGCTAGAAAGGGACTCGAAATGTTTCCTGAATGAAGTATCGTGTACAGAGTTGATTCGTGTACAGGGGGGAAACGACGAAGAGAGACGACGGTTGTTCATGAGGTAATATTCTCACTCACTTCCTCGCGGCGTATCACTTCCACCTGCAGCCGCTTCTGATACTCTTCGCACTCGTCCTTGTACTTCTCCATCGCCTCTTTCGTCTGTCTCATCTTCTTCTTGAGCACGTCGAGAAGGGTGGCCTGCACTTGCGACGACATTCTGCTGCTCATCACACAGTATAAAAACGCCGCGATCACGAGTCTCACGGTTATTACACGAAATAAGCTTGTACTCGAACGACGAACGAAAAGTCGGGAAACCAAGATAGCCGGTGAACACGACCGCGTACGAGGATCAAGTATGTCGAAGATACGAGAGACGACCACTGGCTGCTGTTGACTGGAAAGCAAGATGGCGGCCCCCGGCCAGCAAGCGCATGCGCGCTAGTGTAACTGCGGACGTCAAATAGTCCCTTGCCCTTAACGACGCTTATTTCCTGACATTTCCATCGAAATTTTCATCATGACCACCGATGACTGATATTATCATCGATGTATAACTGGTATCCGACCATGCCTGCTGCTTCAGAGTCTCGGTCCATTAGCTAAAACTGTTTTTTTTCCTTTCGCGACCGCGTCACGAAGCATGATGCGCACGCCGAGTATCGCTACGCCGATCGACGTGTCGTCGCGCGCAAAGCCCCGGAAATACCGCGCCCGTCCCGAGCGCGCCCAACCATTCGAATGGACGCTCGACAACAATTCTAACGTTGTTTCACTTCAGCTTTTTCATTCGCAGCGAGGGTCAGCCGTATCCATGCATCGATGGTAATTCGAGTGCAAATGTAACCTGCTTCGACAGATTGATGGGTTTCGAGTAATTGATGGTTGAGTTTTATGACTAGGAGTAAGCAAGATTGACGCATGACGCGCAAATTCGAATAATAATGGAGATCAACGGTCATACAGCACTGATTGGCCAATTATTAATTACTATGTGTTTCAGAGATACGTAGAACAGGTCTGATTATACCAGAAATAAAACAAGTAAGAATAAAACGTACTCAATATCAACGGTCTTATTGAAACGTAACCGGAAATTGCAATATATTTCATTGTGATATTAAAGAGCAACGTAATTAGGAGCGTGACGTAAGAAATAAATTATCCGTTAATGCGACGTCCCCTATAAATCACCGTGCAACAGTGTTAATAAAAAATTTAATCCAAGAAAAGAATAATATTGCTTTATTGTCCAGTTATTCCCTTCCTGCTATGTTTCATAATCTCAATTTGTTGTGTTACATGATGATTAAATAAATTCGCAATGCGTTCTGTCCAGTTCCACTTCGTACCTCTATTAATTTTAATCACTTGTTCGCGTAGCAAAGCACGCATCACTTATGTTCTACATCGAATCGCGTATTCTATGTCCGTATAATGTTATACGTCGTGTAACAGCAAAATTTTTCTACGCGAACAAAATTTTAACGCAATATTAGAAGACAGTTACATTATCCGTGTAACTTGAAACATATGCTCGAGCATTGAGGAAAGGCTACCGCAGCTCCATCTACCGTTTCGTCGTTCTACTTCAAATTTGAATAGTATGCAAATCCCGCGCGTTAACATCGAATTAAGAACAATCAACCGAATTTGAATGTAGGTCCGAGAATTCACGCGATGACTCGACGTCCGAAACATTTGCACGAACAATGCCGGGGCATAGATGGCAGCACGTTGATCCGCGAGAAATCGTGGAATGTGACGTGTAAATACGGTCTAAGATAAGCGCTAAAGAAACTGTTCTACCGTTCCAAAGGTCGACGTTGGAGTGCGGTCCAAATAGCCGTGCAATACGTTACGAATATTTTGCAACGGTGTTAGAGACACGATATATATCGTCACACCGGCTTAAATGCTCGTAACGAAGCGGATTTGTGGGAGTGCGTTCCGGCAGCGATGCTTATGCAATGATCTCTCGGAGCGCCGAATAAAAGAGCTGCAGGATTCGTGTACAGTCGCGACGTATTTTTAGAATGCGACGAGTGCTACTCTTGTCCAATATCTATGCTCGCAATTACAGCGCAGGGTGGGGTTCGTATTTCGAAACATCTTTTCAAAATATTTCTTGCGCGATTTGCATAAACAAATTTGTTATTTTGCTTCGTAAATTTTTGATCATTTTTGAAAACAAATTTTATTCAATTTGTTGCTCTACATAAGAGAAATTTGTTATTTTAATTAGTTAATTCTTTACGAATTTTAAAAAAGTGTTAAAAAATTATCTCGTTACATTTACAGGTTATGTTACTTTTGAAACGAAGTGTACAATCAGTGAATTGATAACGGTGCCAAGTTTAGCCGTGTTGCACTCGCCATAACGGACACGTTATATTTAATCGGGAAGGTGGGGTCAATTCGAAAAAGGACGCGTACCTACGTGGTGATCGTAAATAATTAAAGAATTCGCGCTACCTGACACACGGTCCTCGAGGTCGAGACTAAATATGAATGTCGTTTATCGTGTCAGCCGAAAGAATCACGCTTAACCCATTGTCCCCGTTCACTAACCCTACTACACAATAAATGTTCTTTGTCGGACGATCGTGCATCGTTATGCCTCGTAAGAGACAATCCTTTGCCGGTGGGAGCGCACGCTACTCATGGTCGATTAATTATTATTGCACGGCCGCGACAGGCGGTGCATTATTCATTTAACGCGCGATAATGCCAGCCGATTTCGATTTCCAGTTGGCAACGGATAAGAAATTCTGCCGTTTCTTAATCAGCCTTTCTCTAATCAGTATTCGAAGCGGTCGGGTAATTTTCCAGGATGAACGGTAGAAAAGTAGCATGTAATTAAAATAATACACGTATTTATATATATACGTGTATGTAGAAAGAGAGTAACAAGAGACGTGCGTGTTGTTTTTCAAACATCTTTGAGCAACATACGATTTAATGGCCTGTAACGTCACCGTGGGTTAACCACTAGATCACCTAACCTAACTGCGCGCGTATTTTTAACCCGCTCTCCGCCATATAAGGTATCGAATTCATGAAGATTACCTCGTTCGACGAAACGTCGGTAAGTTGAGAAAACAGGGAGAGCGCTCGACAGAGAGAAACGATATACACGGTTCGAGAGAGAGAAAGCGAGATTTTGACCGACAATGATGATCTCGATTCTGTTATCAAGGGTCGAATGACACTCGAGAACCCATTGACCGACGTCAAACTGCGTCAAGGTCACGTGATGCGGTGACCTTGCGTCACGCAATATGTACGTCTACGTACCGGGAGCATCAGCTATGTACCATGCGATACTGACCCGTTTCAGCTGGTTCCCCATAATATTTTGCAACTCGTTCCTTATGAGACCGAACGTCATCATGGTGTCGCTGGAGAATATGGACCATCCAAATGCCAATCCAGGATAATCTGCACATCTTTTTTTTCTTCTTGCTTCTCTCTCAGCTTGTATCTCGGTTCTTTCGCTTGGACATCTCAGCTTGGCGAGTTCAGCAAGCTCTGGATCCTCGTCGACGTTTGTCGATTCATTGTCAGAATTTCCGTCACCGCGAGCCCTCGCGACCGCGTGCTCAGGCTCCGGTGAATTCTCTTTGCTTCTCGTTTCATCGTAGAACAATTCCATCTCGAATATCTCTTTCCCACGTGGTCGGGATCGCGACTTGCTCGATCCATCGTCTGTTTCGCAGCTGTCACAGCTCTCGTGTTCGTTTCTATCGCGAACAGATTGCTGCTGTTCGTGTCGTTCGTCTTGAACGTCCGGGCTACACTGCGCGAGCCTCTGTCGGACGTTCTCCTCTCTGTTGTCATCTTCCTCGAGATTGTTACTTTTTATCTTATTCGTGGTGTCTTGTTCGTTCGTGGAGGTTGCGCCTTTCGTGGATACGGTGGCCGTCGGATCGCGTAGCCACCTCGCGCCGACAATCGTGGCCACTGTCACCGCCGTCGAGCTGTCTGTATCGATGACATTGCTCTTTTCGTCGAGCCTCGGTGACGTAGTGGTCGTCCCTGTTTCGTTCTTTCCGATCGCCGTATCTTTGATGATACCAGCAGGGCCACACTGCGCGGGTCCTCTGCTGGAGGCGTCGAGACGTCGGCGCGTTGCGTGTCGCGGATGATGCTGATGACCGCGACGTCTCGTGGTAGACGTAAGAGCTGGCTCCATGCTACGCTATCCAGCTGCCAACCCCTTTTCTAACCCCTGTTTCTTCCACTATTTTTTTATTGTTTTTAAACGTGCTCCACGCACCACTGTTCCTACCACCGCACAAGGCACACCGCCATCTTGTCTGTCACTGTTCGTAACACGTTTCTCACCGCGCCACGCATACGTCCTACTGCCTGTCCCTCTGTGTTGCACGCACACACCGTGCCGTACAATCGAACGCATGCACGAGAGGAGACACGCTGGTCTCCGCTCTCTGCACCGTCCTGGTCTGATTTCTATCTTGCTTTCTCTCTCTCTTTCTCCGTCTATTGCTCTATGCTCGATTCAGGTTACCCCCACTACAGTCAAACTACGGACACGAAACCGAAGTTTGTCGAACGTCGCCGAACGAACGAAACGGCAGTGTCGCGTACTAAAGCTCGACTGTGCGCTCACTTCGCGGGGAACCTACTCTTTCTTCATCAGGCGCATGCGCACGATCGACGCGACATCTTATGCCTCGTAAACGTCACTACTCCGTCGGTAACAACGCGTCGACTGATAAGAGTTACGACCTTTCACAATTCGTTTACCTTTTTTCTGTACATATTTGTTTAAAACGACCTTCGTTGCGAGTTTTTTTTAACTGAAATATTTGTAGAGAGGGAACATTCCAACACTCTTTTTGCTTAAAGTCTGTACAGTTCGAATAATTCTGTAAATTGTCCGTTAGAAAAGAAAATTGAAGAGATAACTCTAAGTTTGCATTTTACCGGGAATTATTAACTGGAAATAACGAATACTTACGTTCTGCAGAGCCTTGTCTTTCTCCTCGAGCTTAGCATTGACCTGCATGAGTGCCTCTTGAGTTTGATCGAGTTCATTCTCAATGGTCTGGATCTTCTTCTGCAGGGCACGAGCTTCTTCCTCGGCCTTTATTAAACAAAAGAGCGTATTAAATATACAGCGATTAATACAATCCTGACAGTTAAGCCGTCTTCGCGATATAGCGTACCGAACAAATACCAAAAACTCCAGATCTATAATTAAAATTGTTGAACGGTTGCCAGTCCTATATCGCATTTTTATTACGCGACGCGGTTATTTCACCGCTATTTTTATTCTCTAACTCGTAGAACCGGTAAACAGACAGTTTTGCTACATTGTCATACACATTTCACGTAATATCGAGTTACTTCTTTTCGAATTTATTCCCCGCGAATGTCACGATCTATTTCAAGATCTCCGCCGCTGCCCTGCATCGTAATAGCCTGAAAACCATCCAGAGATTTACCTTTTCTGCCCGCGCGTTCGCGTCGCGAGCCTGCTGTTCGCAGAGCAACGCGCGATCCATCGCGTTGTCCTTCTCCAGCTTCATTCCCTGCATCTTCTTCTTGATCGCGTCCATGGTGGCGGTTTGGTTTCTTCACTCGTTCACGGAGAAAAAAAGGAGGCAAACGTATCCTACAAAGAAGAGAACATAGTACGTCGTCGATTATCATTCAACCTGCATAGTAACCCGTGTGTTCTCTTTTTTTTCCCATCCCCGTATCATCTCTTCGATCAACTGGAATTGTACTTTTTAATTTTCACCGGTACGCTGGAACGGTACGGTGGAACTCGCGCGATCGATTCCCAAGGAGAACGGTCGAGTTCGCGCGCGTTCATCGAGCTCGGTGATTTCAATGACCGTGAGACGATTCGCGAGTGCAATTAACCGCGAACCGTCTTAATTTGCCGTTCTTTTTCCCTTAAAACACAGCTCTTTCTCTCTGTCTCTGTGCAGTTTCCGACATAGCTTGGCGGATAATTGCCGTGGAAAATCGCGTGGATCAGGCTGAACACAGAGAGAGAGAGAGAGAGAGAGAAAATTCGTGCAAGTTCTCGCTATGCGGACAGCATGCATCGAAGTATAATTAGCGAACGACCGGATATCCTATTTATAGAGGCAGGTTCTTGCTCAAGAAGGCCCGGGCTCTGTACCGTGTCCGTATATATAAAATCAAACGTCTTCGCTCCGAGCCTCTTTCTTCCTCTCTCGTGACGTCAGCCGCTCAGGTATGCGAGAGATCCTCCAGGACGAACCGAGGCGAAACGAGAGGATCCTTCGCGGCTCGGTTTCGCATTTTATGCGCTCGTTTCTCTCCACGGGCGAAACCGATGCAACGCGAGGAACGAAGGGGGCCTGACACCGGCCTGGACCACGGAACAGAGCCGCGAACGGGTTAATTTTCATCCTGGAAGCATTCCACGCATTCCTTCCATTCGGATGCGTACAGTCGTTCTGGTTTTTCTTCTTTCCTTCGTTTTTCTTTCCGAAGGGGAAAGCAGTGAAATTTTCGATTATTCTTCTCCTTCTTCTTCTTGGTGAAAGTTGATTTTCGAAAGAAGAAAGAGGAATTTCAAGTTTCTCATTCGAGCTGTTTGCTTTTTGGAAAGTTACCGCGTAGGTTTATCTCGGTGAATTTCTCGGTATACGTCGTATCTACGCCGATGCACGGATCCTTGTATCCGTATCATTGGTATCTGTACGAGCGAATGTGCACGATTCCTGGCTCGCTGGTAATCAGAGATGCCGGGGGGCTATGCAGGGAGGAGGAATGGAAAACGTAGTTCCGACGAGTTCGAAGAAGCAGAAATTCTAGACACAATGCTCCCAAGAAACGAACATACTCGGTGTCATCAGTTCTCTCTACCCTACACCTGGCAAACTTCAATTCGAACGAAACCGTTTCCAGCGTCCTTCTCTACATTCTAACCTCAACGAAAGTGTACCGATTAATCGATATTAAATCGTACATACCTACGTTCAACTTCACGCTTATCTCTTCTTCCAACTGGAATTTTTACCAAGACTACAACGCGAAAGTCACAGAATCGAAATAACAGCGGATAAAAAATAAGCGAGGCTGCCGGATTGTATCAGCGGAGAGGGTTATTTTTACACGCGACGAGGAGAGGGTGGAATCGTCGCTAGCCGGCCTGCCCGTCGAACCATTTCGGGTTACGCATGAGCCGAGTTTCGTTACTCCATTCGGATCGGTGTCTTGTTACGCTCGAAAGAAAATTTACCCTCCCTCTTGCTTCTTAGGCTACCAGCGATCGCAAGGATTTCTGACATACGATCTAGCAATTTTTGCACAATCCACCTACATTCCAACCAAGATCGTCCTACATCTCTTCTGGAGCAGACGACACGTTCATTCGTAACCGAGTGTGTGACCTGAATTATTCGAGAAAAATCCTATTTTTGTCAAATTCTCTTTCTTCCAACGAAAATTCACCGCATGTACGACCAATCTTTGATCCAGCGAGAAAAGAATGCCTGTCGTTGTCGTTATAAATAGAGACGGTTGCTCTGCAACAGAAGACGAATCTATTCTAAGAGCAGCAAAGTTGCTCTACCGAACCGATTTCACTGATTCTTTGCCACGGATATTAAGATAAGAGTGTAACGTTTGCACTGGTTCTTTCGAGAATCCGTTATCAGCCGAGTCACGACCGGAACAACATCGTCACCGCGATCTCCTATCTCTGGGTGTTTCGCGAGAAAAATTCCTCGTCCAGCGCGGCGCGGCAAGGAGATCGCCAGTCTGGGACAATGTTGTCGCAGTGGTTACGCGTGAATGCCTGAAAATTTTTCACCAGTCACACTTTTTCTGCCGGTATCAGCGCCGCTGCGTTACGGGTGACAACGGGTTGCGGGCCGAGGCTTGCGAAATACACGGTGAAATTTGCATAATAACCGATCCGTTTACAAAATACCCCGCTCTGGAATGTGGGCACGTTCCGTAGTCTTTTAAATCCATATTTTTCGTCCTCCATTCTGATTTTAAGCGTACCGCGTGAAGAAAGTAAGAAGAAAGACGGAGCAAAATCTTTTCCTTCGAGTGTAACGTAGATCGATGGGTGCAAAACTCCTGTTCCGTTTCTCGTTTCCAATTTTACAAGCCGTACACCAGGTAGCGAACGTCGAAGAGCAAGAGGAGAGGGCAATTATGTCCTTTCGAGTGTAACGTGGATTCGAAGATACTCGGGTTCTTAATCCCAATTTTATAATACGTACGGAGTAAGAAAAGCAAAAAGAACGACCAACTTTGCTTCGAATTTAATGTAAATTCACAAGCAACAAGTTCTTATTTCAGTACTTAATCCAAATTTTACGAACCAGGTACCTAATTCTAATTCTATTTATCAGTCCCAATTTTCCTAAGCAAGCACCAAATTCCAATTGCAGGTAACAACCGTAAAAGATGAAGAAGCAACGAATGTAACATAAATCCAAAGCTACCGCGGTTCTTAATCCCACTTTTACGATATATCCTGATCCTGGAATTTGACGTAAATTCACAGGCACCAAATTTCCGAACAATACCAAGCAACAACCGTCGTAAAACTCGAGAAACAAAAACCAGCTCTATCCTTTCACTCTGAAGCTACTTAAACATCAATTACCAACCACCTGAAAACGGGCTGTCGTTCTACCTGCAGGATCACCTGCCTCTACATTCGATTGCTCACCCCTGCAGCGATCGACCCTCTTCACTTTCTTATACGCTCACGATATATAACACACAAAAGTCCTCTGTTCACGTCACTTTCCTCACACACATGCACACCAATACTCAAGTAGCAGTCGAGACGAATTCTTCGAGGAGGTCCCTAACGCAGATGGGAAGTAACAAAGTGAGACGAAACTCGAGAGCTTGGTGTAAACGATTCGAACGGTTTGTTGAAAAAGTGCACATGCTTACTCACGGGGCAAGTATTCAGGTTCGTTCGTGTGGTCCGGGATGCGTCTGACTCGCAGGCTAAGTCTCGACTGGTCGCTGAAAGCTTCAGCTACAACCGTTCGTCGTGGCTCCCACCTTTTCTCGCGGCTTCTCTCCTCGCGGATCGTAAAAGACGACGATGACGTCGCGCGACAGGACGCTCTACTATCTCTCTCCCTCTCGATTCCTCTTCGTTATCTGTCCCTGTCTTCCTCGCTATCCCTTCCACCTTCTCAACAGAGGCACACACCAGCCCCCCCGGCTCGCGATTTTCTACGTACGGGCCTGTGAAAACGTACACCGCCGCGGAATTTATCTTTAGAATCGGCGACGCTTCGACGACGCCTATTTTCACGGGACTGGAGCAGACCTGACTGGTTCCTCGCGAGATATGGAACACGATGGAGGGACCGCGGAGGCCTTCTTTGACTTGCTCTATGGAAATTCGGTTCGAGACGATGGAAGAACCTTGGAGAGCAAGGAGTAGATTGGTGGTTTTTGAGGATGTTCGAATTTAGGCTGGTGTCTAGGGATAGGAGTATGTTTGGAGAAGAGAAAATAGTTTCGGGTTACTGGAGTGTATTTGGAGATTATACAGAAATTGTGAGGGGCTAGGAAAATATCAAGGTTGGCGTAGTTTGAATTGTAGAATTATAATTAGCGGAGAGTG